GAGCCGTGGCGGTGCTGGGTGCTGTGCACACACACGAAAGAGAGTCCCTTCCCCAGAGGGAGTGTGATTCAAGCACAAACCAGGGAGGAGATAAACAGCTGGGGAGAGCATGAGGTAATTTTGGAGGGGTCCTGAGCATCGTGATGAGCAAAGGGACCCGGCACGTCCCCCTCCACCTGCTCTTGCCTCCAACGCTTTGTGCTGAGCCGAACCACAGCTGTGAGAGCTCACGCATCCCCCAGGAGATGCACCAAACTGCCTCATCTCCGGAGGAGGCTGCAGAGGAGGGGGGAGAGGGGTCCTGCTCTCCCCACCCTGTCTCCAGCTCCAGACATCCCTGGGATGGAGAGGAGAAAGCCAAGAAAGGCATCTCCACAACCCCCAAGCGCGGTAATCCTGCTTGCTCCTTTCCTTGGGTAGGAAGATGCTCTACCAACTTCCCTCTTGATCCCATCAAGTCTGCCTATTTCAAATCATGCTTTTTTGGGGTGGAGGGGGAGCCCAGATCCTGCAATCCCACCTGCCTGGCTGCCACCCTTCCCTCCTGCCCTCACCCCCTGCGTGCTCTTCGTCGCTTTATGCTCCCATCAAACCGACACGACCGCTTTGGTTACGAGAGAGTAGTCAGAGAAGGATCTGTGCTGGTTTCAAATAGTTTCCAGAACTGGTCACCCCCTTCTGTAAGAGATTAAAAAGGCATTGCTGAGGAGGGAGTGAGGGAGAAAGACAGCATGAGAAAAATAAATAAATAAAGGTATATAGTTACTTTTGGTTAGTCTCAATATGCAGCCCCGTCCCAGGGCGCCTTGTTCTTTGCTCATTTGAAGTATTAGTCACTTTTTCCATTAGAAGCTCTTATTCTAGGGGGATTTATAATGTATCTGTAAAATTGTCTCCAGGCTTTGCTTGGCATCTGAGCTCTCAATCCATGGACAGAATGTAAAGAAACTACAGTTGTTTGATTTATTGGGACAGGGCACAGGGAGGGAGGGAATTTTTCCATGCTCGGTGGAAATAAATTCACAGAGTGCCTTCAGAGCACAATCACTTACTGCCCCAGAAAATACAGCCTTTGGGGGCAATCTCAGGCTGGCAGAGAGGACAGAAGCAAAACAATGACTTTTTCACATTTCCCTGCCTGAGACCCAGCCCTGGTTTGTGGTTTCTCACCGTGACCCACCCAGCCCATGGTCCCACTGGGTGTGAGAGTCCCCATCATACCACTGGAGTTGGGAAACCCTGCCCTCGACAAGCCCTTCTCAGCCTGATTCCTACACGGGACATTTCTTAACCTTCTGTGGAGTCTTTCTTACAGGGTCCTGATTTTTTTCCTAGCGAGGCCCATGTCTCATTTAGGTTTTGCTCATGTTTCTTAATATGGAACTGCCCAAAGGCTGGGTGGGATGAGCGAGAGCTGGCAAGGCAACATCAGCACCAGAATGGCAGAAGCGTTGGGGCAAAGTGACAACTGGGGGGTGACAACACCCTTGGGACACACAAACTGGGCTACAAACACCCCATCACCTTGCTGGTGGTCCTCCTCTACGCCATGGCTGAGGATACGCTCCTCTGCAGGGTGGCCCTGGCCTGGGCCAACGCTCACCCAAACTTCAGCTGAAGATGGGGGTGGATGGGGATGAGGGGAAGGATTTAGGGTCAGAGACACACGCTGGGACGAGGAGGGAGGGAGAGCCTCCCTGCAGCACCCATCGGCAAAGCCAGAGCCTAACGTGGACGCTTGAAGGAAACAATAACCTAAAATTGGAACATGGCAAATTATTTATTCAAACTACAGCCTTCCCTCCTCCCTTGATTAGCAAACCGCTGGGGAGTCGGCCCTGATTTTCTTCAGACAG